ACCAAAATTGTTTGGCAGTGAAAACTGTATCAACGAAACTGGGGAGGTTTGTTGGAAGCATATGCTGCCTGGAGAATTTGTAGTACTCAAGAGAAGTTCCTTAAAATCTCCTATACACCTGTGGCTTACATTATAAAAAAAAAATTGGGTGCTAATTGGTGATGTAATACAGTATATTAAAGGCCATATCTTTAAAGTGATATGTTGTTTTTTGGTCATCTAATTACTTAAATATCAATTTTTTTAGAATAGAATAGAATTCTTTATTGGCTAAGTGTGATTGGTCACACAAGGAATTTGTCTTGGTGCAAATGCTCTCAGTGTACATAAAATAAAAGATACACATTCATCAAGAGTCAAGAATTATCAGGTACAACACTTAATAGTTATAGGGCTATACACAATAGAATCATACTAGGAAACAGTCAATATAAATCATAAGGATAAAAGTGACAAAGTTACAGGGAGGGAATGGGTGATAAGGAGTGATGAGAAGATTAATAGTAATAATAGTGCAGACTTTGTAAATAGCTGAACAGTGTTGAGGGAATTATTTGTTTAGCAGAGTGATGGCTTTCGGGGGAAAAAACTGTTCTTGTGTCTAGTTGTTCTGGTGTGTAATGCTCTATAGTGTCATTTTGAGGGAAGGAGTTGAAACAGTTTATGTCCGGGATGTGAGAGGTCTGTAAATATTTTCACAGCCCTCTTTTTGACTCATGCAGTATACAGGTCCTTGATGGAAGGGAGGTTGGTAGTAATTGTTTTTTCTGTAGCCCTAATTTTCCTCTGAAATCTGTGTCTGTCCTATTGGGTTGCAGAACCAAACCAGACAGTGATAGAGGTGCAGATGATAGTCTCAATTCTTCTGTAGAACGAGGAATAATTGATATGTTGTTTTTTGGTCATCTAATTACTTAAATATCATTTTTTAAAGCTTAACTTATTTCCACTTCAAAACATTTCAAAATATTTGATCAATGATTCAAAAGGAAAACTGACCAGACAATTTAAAAGAGCAAAATAAATTCACACCAGATACATATTTCATATTTTGGAATGTGTATTTATTAAGATCAAGCACTAAGAATATGAAATGCCTGAGAATATCCCCTTGAGGTCTAATGGTGACAAGTCACCATTATTGAAAGAAGCATGTATGGATTATCTGTCTGATCCTGCAGGATTACTTCTCTTAAAGTTCAAGTGGGAACTCACACGTTAATTGGCATCTTTTGTTTAATATATTCATTTTTATTTTCTGTCAAATCAAACAATATACTTGTTTTTATTAAATTATAGGAGTAAAATATCCTGCGGTTGTGTTATGGATAGTTAAACGGTCCAATTTCAACCAGTACGAGGACTAGCTGCATACTCATCAGAGTCCATGTATACAAAAGTACTTAGTATGTGATGATATCATTCCTATTACATTTTATGACAAATCATGCAGGTTTTCCTGAGTAAAATTCTTTATCTCTCAAGCTGAGCATTTAAGTTAGTTCAGTAATTTTTAAATTTTCTATTTTCAAACTCCCATAAGTTACCACTTTTATATCTTTAGGCAGAAGACACTTTTTCATATTTTTAGCATTGGCACATTTTCTGTGAAAAATTGTCAGTCTGTCATAAAATAAGGAAAGCCTAGACCCCATTCTTCAAGCTAATTCTGTATGTTACATTTGAGTAACTTCTTTCGCTACCTATAAAAATTAAAAGTAAAATACACCTATGATCTTTCTGACAATCTTATTCTTTCTTACATGCTTTTTGTTAACTTTTAATTTTAGAATTACAAATAAATTTCTTTTACCAGTTACTGATACTCAGTTGGTTCTCTGCCTTCTCTATATCCTGATATGGAAAGTATAAATTGTATCAAAGACTTTTTTGGGGAAAACTTTGATTTTTATCTTTCTGAATCAAGTTATCCTAAATTATAACCTAAAGCAGGGACAGCGAATCTACTGCCCCTAAGTTCTTTTGAAGCCCTTAATGCCCTCCCCAGCTTCACTTAAACAAAAATAAACGTGGTACTTTCCTCTCATTTCAGGGCAACAAAAACAAATGTATACTTAGTTCCTCCACCATTTTAAGGGGAGGGGAATTAAATAACATTCTTAGAGTAGGCAGACTAGAATTTTCTTGCAAGAAGAAGAAAGCCTTAGCTTTACAAAGTTGTGTAACAATCATTATGAAAATATTATCTTAGTCTAGAAAAATAAAACAGGTTGAGGAAGAAACTCGGGATAATATCATTCCAAATCTATTTGATTTAAGGGGAAGAGAGCAAGAAATTATTTCAAAATTCTGTTGTCAAACCTTATTAGAAGCAAGTTCCCATAGTACTTATTGGGCTCATTTCCTGACCTAACCTACCTCACAAGCCTAACTCATGATTCCACTGATCACCATGTGGATCTTTTGCCTAAATTTAAGTCTAGTTTCTAGAAACTAGCTACTTTTCAATACATGATTTTCAATATTTGATAGAATAATTTGGATCTAAAATTGCTGTCCTTTGGTTGTTTGACAACTTCTTCCAGGAATGAATTGTAAAATATGTGACAACTGGTTTGTGAGCCAATCAAATGCTGGTTTAAACTTCCCAGCCTGTTCTTCTCTTCTTCCAGTTGTTTGATTTGCTTTTTCCGTGAGCTGTTAACCAGATTCCTCACTATGGTGTAGTCTGAGATGGAACAGATTATTCTGTTTTCATCTTAGACATTGCACTGCAGATTGCGTATTTGACCAAAAAAGCAGGAAGAAGTGGAAGAGGGCACGATTAAGAAGTCTAAATAATTATGTAATATGTTGTAATACTTGGGAATGTGGGATCACAGTCTAGCTGTTTTTCCAAATAACTTTATTAATTTTTTTAATAGAGACCAGTAAAGAAAAAGAAAAAAGGATTGCAAGAAAAATACATGTATAAAGACACCTGTCCCAAGAAAATAACCCACTTTGTGATAGATATAAACAATTCCTTAAAAGTGTAGTATGACAAAAAGGGACCATTTCCTCTTTATAAAAGACAAAATACAATATAAGATATTCCAAACAACAGTTTATCTTCAAATGCATATTCTATATCTCCACTCTATAAGTACATCAACATTTCACTTGTATAAAATAATCCCATTATCCTAATGCAAACAAAAAACTAAAGTTAAAAACTAAATTATAACAAAACAATCCTCTTTTTTAAAAAAAGAATCTTTCCCAACTCCCTTATTATTTAACTAAAGAAAAATGGAATCATATAGAATAAAAACATTTCCAACTTTATCCCTGATTGAATAAGCCAATGTTACAATCTTTGTTTTTCTTTGTTATGTATACAGGATCATCTTTTTTTGCAATCCATTTGGGTGATTGTTATTCCTTATTACAAATTTCTTGTTTTTTGACTCCAGACTAATAAGCATTTTCCCCATAGGCATGGATTTATTTATTTTTTAAAAAAAAACACTCACCCAGTGTTTCCAATCTTGTCATTCCAAAGGTGTCTAACATCCTTAAATTCATGGGTAGTTTCCTAAAATAGCTATCAAGGGAAGTGTAGTGTCCTGTAAAGTCTCCACTTTGTGGCTGCAGAAAAATAGTGAATTCCCCCATCTTCTAATTCTCCACCCGCACCTCAAGATTACTGTTCTGTGGCCTTTTTGTGTGGAAAAGAAACACACACCAGGAGAAATCACTTGGGCAATCTCATGTCATTCTGTCTAATCCATAGAAGATCAAAGGGAGGGAGCTGATCTCCTTCGGCTCTTTTGCCAATCATCAGCTCCATTTGTCTGTGGAGCTGTCTTCAATTGGCCATCTTTCCCTGGAAACCTGAGTCACAGTGCAACCATGAGCCATACTTTGAATCTTTTCTGTTATTGAATCTGTTAAAAATATTTTAACATAAATTTTTAATATAGATTATGAAATAGCAACAACACTAACAGTAAAAAAAAGTCAGCTATGAAATATGAAAAGTTTATAAATGAAAAGGTGAAATTCTTGAGAATACTATGGATCATAGAACAAATCAATCCAGAGTTGCCACGACACAGAAATGACCAGACTCAAATTATCATATTTTGGACACTTTATATAAAGACCCCACTTCCTTGAGTAGCCTATAATGCTGAAATAATGTAGAAAAAAAAAGAGGACAATTAGTAACAAGGTATATGGACTTGATTACAATAAAGATGGGTGCACTATTGAGAGAACTGATCGAGTTGGGGACAGATCACCCTGTAGAAGATTTACATGATTACTCAGAGTCAACACTGAAAAGTACAAGTAGTCCTCAACCTAGAACAGTTTGCTTAGTGACCATTCAAAGTTACAGTGGCACTGAAAAATGGGACTGTTCTTCACAGGTACGACCTTTACGGCACCCCTATGATCATGGGGTCAAAATTCAGATGCTTGGCAAACTGGTTCAAGCAAACTCAATGGGGAAGCCAGATTCACTTAACCAACCAGGTTGCTAACTTAACTGCACTGATTCACTTAACAACTATAGCAAGAAAGGTCATAAAATGGGACAAAACTCACTTAAATGTCTCACTGAACAACAGAAATTTTGGGCTCAATTGTAGTCATAAGTCAAGGAACACCTGTACACTGAGTCAACACACGTGTGTGCTTGTGTACATTCTTAAAAATCTTTTGTATGTCTATGCATCTGTACTTTTTTACATTTTGCTGTATCAGCAATGAAATAAAGATTTTTCTAAGAATTTAGTGTTGGTTATCTCTCTTTTAATATTCCCCCTATTATCCATGTAGATATATTCCCCTCCTTCTCTCACACATATTCTGTAGAACCTTAAGCAGTTGCACTTCAGAAATGCTTTTTTATAAGCTTTCATTAAGGCATTTAGTGTTTACTTCTGCTATGCTATAGTATTTTGGTATTACCATGTTTTCCATGATAATCAAAATTTGATGTGTTTCATGAATAAAGCTGAGGTCTAAAAATACTGTAACCCTTTTCACAGGAACGTCTACCTTTATAGAAGCCTTGGCAACCAATGGTACCAACATTCAGACATCAGTAACAGGAGTAGCAGCCAACAAACGAAGATTCATTGATGAAAGGAGAGATCAGCCTTTTGATAAAAGGCTACGATTCAGTGTGCGGCAAACTGAAAGTGCTTACCGCTACAGAGACATTGTTGTCAGGAAGCAAGATGGATTCACGCATATTTTATTATCCACTAAATCATCAGAGAACAATTCATTAAATCCAGAGGTTAGAGTTGTTTCATTACTTCTGATTTTTTTAACTGGGAGGGTGGGATTCTTGCTATCCCAGAAACTCACAATCACCCATGCCCTAGTCACTTCCAGATTGGATTACTATAATGTGCTCTATATGGGGCTGTCCTTGAAGAGTATTACACCTCTGCTCTGTGGGTTGCACTTATTGCCAGTTTGCTTCCAGGTCAATACAAGAGATTGGTTTCAATCTCTAAAATCTTTCATGGTAAGGGAGAGATTATCTGAGGGATCGCCTCTCCTTGATTACATCTGCCCAATCCTTTAGATCTGCCAGAAACAGTATGCTTCAAATTCCATCTGCTACAAACTTCAGATCCCATCTGCAAGAGACTTTGAGTCCCAGAAGGAGGGCATTCTATACTGTGGCATCTACCTTAGGGAACATTCTCCTCCCCAAATTGAAGTTAGCTCTTCGTCTGTTAATAGTCCCAAAACATCTGGTTGTGTCTTCAGGCCTGGGGTTCCAGAGGATTAGTGATATTCTAAGACGGCGGTTATTGCGATTCATATTTATTCCCTCCTATGGTTCGTGGTTTACATATTTTAATCATTGTTTTTATATATTTATTGTTTTACTTGGTTGCTGTATACCACCCAGGATCACTTCTTGTCAGATGGGTAGCCATATATTAGTAAATAAATAGTGTAGAAATTAAAAGTTAAATAGTACATCAATGGCAAAACATTAGTAAATTAGTAAATGCATGTGTAGAGTTTAGTGCTTGACATTAGATGCAGCGGCCTTTTCAAGAGGATTAGAATTATGATAGCAAGAGCTCAAAATGCCTCATTGGTAGAATAGGTATCTTACAAGAAAGTTCAGGCTTTGAATTATTTATTTATTTATTTTTTAATTTTCAGAGAGCTCTTAAAAGGTAAAAAGTAAAGGAGTCCCTGTGGATTTTCCTCTACTAATCATAGCCAACTATAGGGGTGGGAGGGTGTGCTTCATTTTAAGGCCATTAAGTCAGCGCTATCTGAAGACATTTCCACGGTCATGACATCACAGAGTGCTGCTACCTTCTCACCATAGTGGTACCTATTTATCTAGACACATTTGGATGCTTTCGAACTACTAGGTTGGCAGGAGCTGGGGGCGAGGACGGGGGCTCACACGGTCATTTGGCACTCGGATCTCAAACCTAAGTTGCCGGCTTTCCAGATAACAAGTCCAGCATCTTTACTGCTGAGCCACTGTGTCACCCCTCCTTAAGAAACAAGTCTGCCTGAAATTTCATACGTCGCTGTCAATCCATTTCACCACTGCAGGTCAAAAATTGGGAAAATATAAATTAAAAACAAGTGATGAATTGTGCCACAGTATTATACTAGTAGTATTACATTGATATAATACTAGCAATTATATTAGTTTCCAAATCTAAAGTTCTGTATATTTAAGTATTTGGGTTAATGAAAATTAAAAGCTATTTGACAGGGATATAAATAGGAAGCTTCAACTTGCTTTAAGTGATTTACTGAATTGCCTGTGTACTATTATTCAGTATTTTTTTAATCTATAAACTACCATATTTATTAAGAATTAAGGTTTTTTGTCTAATTTTATAATGAATTTAGATATTCATAAATTTCAGGCTTATCCTTCGGGAATTAATTCTGCTGAACTCCGTAAAATTTAACATAACGCAAGTTTATATCGGTAATGCTTACTTTTAAAAAACATTTGTCCATTGTTGTCTGTCTTTCTCTTTTGGGAAAAAAAAATGAAGTTTTAGACCTTGTCCTAAATTTAGATGTCTCTGAATTGGTTACATATGCCACCTGCTGTTCACCTTACAGAAATATACTTGGTAAATGAAAAGCTTTTCAGAAGCAAATATTATATATCCCTTTTTCATGTGTTTCATGCATCTCATTCCAGGTGATGAAAGAAGTCCAGAGTGCACTGAACACAGCAGCTGTTGATGACAGTAAACTTGTACTTCTTAGTGCAGTTGGCAGTGTTTTCTGTTGTGGCCTTGATTTCATTTATTTTATTCGACGTTTGACAGATGATAGAAAAAGGGAAAGTACTAAGATGGCAGATGCAATTAGGTTTGTAAAATTATTCAAATTGTGCTTAACAGATCTTGAGCTAAAACAGCTATTTGTAAAACCAAAACTACTATTCCAATCATACTTGGAGTTTTTGTTTTTTTCCTCAGTCAGTAAATGGATTTAAATCAAAATATTTATTATTTTGGAGATATTGTAAAGGTGTCTTCTTTCAAACTAGGAAGAGTTGCACATCCATTAGGTTAAGCATAGTTAAACATGTTTCCAGGACAGTTTCTATATTCGGAAGAATCTTATAGAATAGATACAATTTTTACTTTTCATAAAAGTCTCATATTATAGGAAACGAGATTGTCCAGAAAGATTATTCAGACTGGATATTTGGAAACTATTCGTTGAGAAACTATTTGTATGGGCCCTCCTATTCACAGAATGAAAGTGTAATATTCTGCTTTTCCAACCTCCTTGTTTCACTGAAAAAGAAATTTGGATGGATGGTGTATATAATAAGCCACTATTTATTATTAATACCAAATGTGAGGAATGTTAAGAAATGACTCCAACAAAACTATATCTTAATATATCTTAAAAAAACAATGTTGAAGAATGAAAAAATGAAATGCAATTGTGTTCCTTAAACAATATATTATTTCAAGTGTTTTTATGTTTTGTTTTTTTAAGCGTGTAATATGAGAAACTGCATGTCCGATAATTTCCTTCTTATTGTTTATCCTCAATGTAAAAAAACATTTTAGCAAAATACGTATGTTGTTCTTGAAGTAAAGTTCATTTTAGAGCTGCAGCATTTTCTTTTTCAAAAATATTTTTATATGTATTTATCAAATTGTTTTGAGCAACAAAATTAACAAAATATAGTTAAGTCCTTGACTTACAACTACAATTGAGCCCCATATTTATGATGTTAAGTGAGACTGGTTAAGTGAGTTTGCCCCATTTTTCATTCTTGCCACAGTTGCTAAGTGAATCACTGCAGTTGTTAAGTTACTAACCGGGTTGTTAAGTGAATCTGGCTTCCCCATTGTCTTTGCTTGTCAGAAGGTTGCAAAAGAGGATCAAGTGACCTTGGAACACTGCAATTATCATAAATATGAGTCAGTTGCCAAGCATTTGAATTTAGAATAAGTGACCATGAGGATGCTCAACAATCCTAAGTGTGAAAAATGGCCATAAATCACTTTTTTCAGTGCCATTGTAACTTTGAATGGTCACTCAAATGAACTGTTGTAAGTCGAGAACTGTCTGTAATACAAAATGTTGTTTTAATCATTTAAAAAAACCACTTGGAGCCAAACACTGGCTATAAATAACTTGTGTGGCTACATTCACTTTCTCCTTTAGAGATTGATAATTAAATTTTGATGCCCTCCCTCTGTTTCACCTTCAATAAAATAGTCGTGTTACTATTTTTTGTTTTATTCTTTCATAGGAAAATGTGGTTGTGCCTATCATATTTTCAACAAAATATTTATAAACAATAATTACTAGAATAGTTACAATTTTGAAATAGACTTCACGGAAGAATATTGCTGCTAAAATGTGAGCTGTAACCATGTTCTTGTTTTATTACAGGAATTTTGTAAATACTTTTATTCAGTTTAAAAAGCCCATAATTGTTGCAGTAAATGGCCCAGCTATTGGACTTGGAGCATCTATATTACCTCTATGTGACGTGGTATGGGCTAATGAGAAGGCTTGGTTTCAGACCCCATATACAACATTTGGGCAAAGTCCTGATGGATGTTCATCTCTCACATTCCCAAGAATAATGGGTCTGGCATCTGTAAGTAATTCGTAAAATAAACATGTATTCTATATATTTATAACATTTGATGTGCCTATAGTTTTTAGTACAATCGAGTTGACGTAACTGTTCATGGCATGTAGCCCTCAAAAGTGTCACATTTTGACTCTTCCTGTATAAGGAAAATGCTTGGGGGGGTGGAGTTTCTGGCTCCTAAAATATGTGCTTTTGTGCTGTTGCATTTGCATATTCAGGAAAACATTTTTGGTCAATCTACTTACATTCTATGTATCTAAAGTAAGTTAAGAACTATTTTTATAGGGCTGAAGAAGAGATGCAGGGTTTAATTTAGAAAAGATGCTGTGTCAGGACATGGGGAGCATAAAATTACAAAAAAAAATAAAAAATTAAAAACCTACAATAAAGCAGTAAAGCCTTTTTCTGGAGTCAGTTGAAATAAAATCAGGAAGGCAGCTGAGTATCCAATGAGAAGCAAATCATAGGTTTTTCAAATGCATCTATACAAGCCGAACTAAAAATATATCATTTGTACGAAAGGTTTCCTAGAGTTTCGGGGAGTATAAATGATTATATACTATGTGAAGCTGGAATTAAGTCTTGTGAACTAATAGTCTAATAATTTAATCTGCTTAGTCTACCATGTGTTACTTCCTATTAATGGGGCAGTTGTTAAATGAGCTACAACACCGAGTCAGACAGCTTCCTTGCTTATTTTTTTTTTGAATTCCTTTGTGTTCAACACCCATTGGAACAAAGGGATTGTAGATCCTGGGCATAGACCTTCCATAACTGTTTTGTTTTATTATTTTCTATCTAAAAATATTTATTAATATTTTTGAGATATTTTGGGGTGGCAGTCCAAAATTGGGGGAAGAGACCCCAAAGGTCATAAAAATGACTGATAGAATTTACATATAGTCTGCAGGTTGCCACAGCTTGACCTTGTAATCTGTTTCCCTTACAAAGTTTCTCTATAGCAAACTCTGTCAACTTCCTTTGAGATATTATCATGCTAGATGCTTTTAATACTAACTACATTTTTTTTCTTCAAGAAAAAGGATCCAGATGTAAAGATCTAGATCACGGGTGTCAAATTCGCGGCTGTTGAATAATGTTTTGTGATGTTTTTTTCCATCCACAGAGCTGGGATGGGTGTAGCCTGCGCATGACACATCGGGCCTGTAGGCTGCCAGTTTGACACCCCTAATCTAGATTCTATATTTTGGGTAATAAAATAAAGATATTTTTTTAAAAAAAAACATAAACATAAAAATAAAAGCATAATTTTAAAAAAAACTTGCATCAATAAACGCTCTGAAACTCAAATATCAAAATTTATGTAGGGCTAGAAGTTGACATTGAATTATTGTGTTGCTTTCAATATTTGCTTTATTTCAGTTCAGCGCACAAACAAAAAGTAACATATTCTAGTAGGGGCATTTTTTATAAGCCACAATGTTTTTTATTTAGTAAAAAATCTACACTTTGCTATAACTTTCAAATAATTTCTGTCTTTCTCAGGCAAATGAAATGTTATTTAGTGGAAGAAAGCTAACAGCACAAGAAGCTTGTTCGAAAGGACTGGTGTCTCAAGTATTTTGGCCAGGAACATTCACGCAGGAAGTTATGGTTCGAATTAAGGAACTTGTCACGTGTAATTCAGTTGTAAGTTGCTTGCTTCTTTCAATGGAAGTTTAATACTTGGAGTGTTTTAATGATTAAGTACCAGTTCACACAGTAAATTTAAACTAAAACCATTTTGACCTGGCCCTGCAATATTCTTGGAAGGATTTTCACTATTCAAAACATACATAGGCAGATAGCATTTCCACCAACCATCCCAATTAACTCTGAACCCAAAAGATGCCATTTTATTGTCTCTTCTTTTAAAAAGGCACTCAACTTAAAAAGGCAGATTATAATATTTCACAGAGAGAAGGAAATGACTTGTGGATTAATTCTGCAAATAGGTTCGCAATTTCCAACAGCACATCATCAGTAGCTGTAATGCAGCTATTGTGTAATGCACAAATCTAGGAAATGAATTTTAAGTGTTTATGGTAAGAATGCACTCTTAAAAAAACTCTTGTTGTTTTGACTGTACCGGTATAAATATCTGGTCCAAAACTATGGAAGGGAAAAGGCAGGAAAACTGTCTCTTGACTTTTTACCTGAACAGCTAAGTTTCATCACATTACTCAGTTTAATTTAGAATTTATTATTGTACAATACTTACTTACCATATAAAAACATGTTTTCACGTAACTGCTAATTCAGAACGTAAGGTTTATAATATGCTGAACCCCAACCACTATTACAAAATAATTTGTTGCTGCTGCATTAGATATGATATGCTCATACACACTTGCATTCTAGTAATAGTCCTGTGTGGAACCAGTAAACATTTTGTAGTCCATTAAAAGTACTTTAAGTGTGACTTCAACTGTATTCTACTAATCTATTTGGATTGCCTTTCTGGAATAGTTCCACAGTGGATGGTGGGTTTTGCAATGGAATGTGGTTTACAACTTCAACCTGTTTAGCATCCATCCTTGATTTAGTACCTATTATTATTAGCAAAAGATGCTTATATAACCAAACCGGAGACAGCTGGGTAGCTTCAGTGAAGGATGAAAGATACTAGCTTCCACATTGCAGTTGTCTTCTAGTCACCCCAGCCTTAATTACAGTTGGGAATGTTAATGTTTCTTGACTAAGATTTCTTGCAGCAATTAAAACCCATTTGCATGTCTTCTATGCATGCACATACCCATTTTTAGCACAGCATTGATGTTAATTGCAGTCCCACCATAGCCTGCTGGAGGGGTTGAGGCAGCTTATCTTTCCGAGATAATATTTGCTCTTTGCTGTCTGTGCTTTGTGGTTTTAAAATGCTAATTTTAGGAAAATATAAAAGTCGATGGTGG